GCATTTTAACTTTGCTCAACCAAAATAGCACATACAGCCACAGCAAGAACTGATGAGAATCAGTTTGATCTTCTAACCTCTACAATTTATATATATATATATATATATATATAAAATCAATATGCATACACACACACACACACACACATATATATTTTCTAAGCTCTGTGTCTGCTTCTTACAGTTAGAGTGTAGGCAGGTATAATCAGTTTCAAGCTGAGTCTATTTATGTGAGCATTTTTGCTATGACTACAGATAAAAGCTGAAATCATTTTAAATATTTTCTATTGTTAGAATTCTTTGTCTTGATTTGAACTGTATGACAGGCATGAACATAGGTTGTGCTGTAAATTAAGCCAATTATTCTTATGATTATTGTAATAATTATTTAATAATTAGATTACTAGCATTAATAGATAATGAGTAAGAATAAAAAAATCCCCTTCCCCCAATATAAAAACAGAAAAGGCAGAAGAATGATTTGAGGGTGACTTCAGTTTGCAGACTTCCCAAATGATGAACACTAAATTGATTAACAGCTCAAAGTCTCTAGTACCTATATTGTACCATTTCTCCTAACTGTGTAATAAGGTAGAACACTGATTGATAAATTAAAAATCTTGATTTTTGGATCATATGTTCTCTTTATTATACCTGTGAATTGATTTCATCCTTTTAGTGACAGAGACCCCATAGCAATCTGAAACCCTTTTTTTGCCATTCTGTATTACTCTTACACATCTCCTGAGTTGTCTCTGTCATTTGTAGCAGTTATACATAAGTGGTGGCCATAAGAGGAGACAGGGAAATTATATTATTTTAATAAATATTTAAGGTCCAGACTCTGACATTGGAACAAGGAGAGCCAGAGCAGCTAGGTTCCTCCCATCTTTTAGATGCTAAAGTTACAGGAACTGGGAGACAAAGAGGAGCTAGCTGCTTCTGCTTTCCTCTTTGAGATATTAAAAGCTACCAGGATGCTTGGATGGGTAGAGTATTGAAAGGGAAGTTCTAAAGCACACCTATATTGAGTATGATTTGGGAGGGTGACCCCTCCCTGTCAGCCATCTCAGTCACCCAGACCCATTATCTTTGACCACATGTATTCCCTTAGCTCTCCAGTATAAAACTAGGAATTGGGGACCACCATTTTGAGACTTTGCTCCCATTTTCTGTATGGGGAACAGGAAATGCTTCTTTCTTTTCTCCCCCTGACCCTGTTGTTCTTATTCTAGAGACAATTTGCTTTTAGTCTGTTTGAAAGTATATTCCTCTCCTAATAAACTTTGCTGTAATTTTTACTAAATCTTTGTGTCTTGCTTGAGTTCTTCTGCTGGATGCAAGTATCCAGGTGATTTTCAGGGCCAATTTTTTTCCGAATCTGTTTACTTTTACTGTTTGTGGCCCCATTGGAAAAATATGGGGTATTTTATGTCTCGAGCATTATTTCATTTTAAAGGAAAGAAGAACAAAGTGGGTAGCTAGAGGAACAGGAAATCTCAAGATACAGGTCTTTTGTTATTTGTTTGTTTTTTGCTTTCTGTAAGAACCCTGAAGTTTATTATCTTTCTATGCTATAAAAGGCTTTAGGACAAATAAGCAAGGAGGTGGGAACCTGGCCACTATACTGTCTAAAGTGATTCAGACCATCCTTCCCTGTAAGCTGGTGGTTTTTCCAGAGAGCTCTCACCTCAGGCTGGGACAGGAAGAACAACTTGCTGCTGTGAACAGATAAGGCCATTGAGGTTTGACCTTGTGACCAGAAGGTTTGAAGGGGTGACTAGAAATGTGTGCAGAGCGTCTAGCTATCTGTATCATCAGAAAGGAATGGGTAGATTATGTGGTTTACCAAATTAAAAATGTTTTTTGCACCAAATTAGCCAGAAAATAAATGAATACTTTTTAGAATCATATATGTATAAATGTGTATGTCTGTGTTTTACACAAAAGTGAATTTGGAAGAAAAAGTTCAAGAGTATTCAACACCATCTTCAAATATCTCTTTCTGTTTTATTAGCTGACTGAGGGAAAGTTTAGTACTTCCAGCTTTATGCTGTATTTTGATCAAAGAACAATATTGCAAGTGTCAATCAATTCCAACTGAAACCAGTGTTATCTTGTAATGCTAATTGTCTATACATTTAAAAAACTTGCTTCTTCCAGAAATTTGGAGCTTAGAAATAAAAAGAGAATAGAATTTACAGGGAGTAGTTGCAGTATTTGACTTTCTAGTTATAAATTTCATTCTGTCCTTTCTGAAACTATGAGAAATCTAGCTTTTATAGTCAAGTTCTTTTTTATGTCAGCTTAAAAAATCAAATGTGAATATTTTCATACATAACTGGTGTAATATAAATGAATGAGAGGGTGTTTGGTAATATATATCAGGGTTCTTTAATATATATATGTTTCATCTCCATACTTTCATGTTTTAAAACTTTTCCTAAGAAAATATTCAAAAGTACATATCAAATAATTTTTAAAATAGAAATAAATAAATAAATAAATAAATAAAAACTAAGCAGCCTAACTATCCAAAGGTAGAGGATTGTGTAAATAAATGAGGGTATATAAATGTGAATATAATTACATATGGTTTAAAAAAATCTTATAAATTTTTATTTTTTAAAATGAAGAAATTATTATTTATTAGAAAATAACATCACTGAGGGGGAGAGACAATGGAGGCAATGTAGATAATGTACAGTATAAATCTAACTGGAATTGTCACTGCAAATCCTCCCCTGTATAATGGATATAACCTAATAAAAATTTATTAAAAAATAATAATATCAAATACATGGTGCAAACCATGCTTAGTGGTGCACACCTACAATCTTAGTCTAGGAAGACAGAGACAAGAGGATCAGGAACTCCAGGATGGCCTGGGCTGTATGGGGAGTTCAAGGCCAGCTGGAGTTAGGTAGTGAGACCCTGTCTCTAAAGTCCCCTGGCTGGGGATATAGCTCAGTGGTATAGTGCTTGCCTCATATTGCCCAAGGCTTTGGGTTTGATCCCCAGCACCACACACACACAAAACCCCCCAAAACTCTAAAACAACCCCATTTTATATGGAATGATACCAACTCTGGTAGTAAATGTATTGCACAGATGAAAAACTAGAAGAATATTAACAAATTCTTTACAGTAGAAATGTCAATGTTTTAAAGTAAGCCCTAAGATACACTTGCATTCAATAGACATAAATCAAATGCAGAATTTTTTTTTCAGAGTGACTTTTTTCTAACAGAGAAAATTTGTTTCATTTAAGGGCTAAAGAATTTAGTAACACTTCATTTTATGTTCATATATATTAACACATAGATGGTTTAAGATAATTGATCTTGTTTTTTCAAAAGATGTGTCACTTCATCTTTTTAGGAACCATTTTGAATATTGATATTGAACATTATTTTGCGAAGAGTACAAAGTGGTTGGTTAGTTCAAATGGAGAAGTACGTTGCTCATGACAATTTTTCCTTTCCCGTTAACGTCAGCTTTCATCACACAGTTTCCTCTTCACTTTGGTCAAGAGGAGGTACAGAAAATTTTTAATTGGAGTATCATTCAGAGGCAATTCATTTCTGCCTTTCATCTTACAGCCTCTAAGGGATCCTGGACTGGAAAGACCAGCTTACCCCTCATTTGTGGATCAGTTCTTCCTCCTGCATCACTGCATGGCTCAGATACAGGTAATGTCTGCTTTTATTCCCTCAGAACTTTGTACCACATTGTCCTACTTAATCTAGAGATATGGCATTAATTACAAATAGTTTGTCATGAGAATTATTCTGATAGGAAAGCATTCTTTATTGATCACAGTAGGATTGCATTAACTCTGAAAAATATGACAACTATAGTTTATCATCCGTGAAAAGTTATATTCTCTTTCTTGATGTGGTATGATTTTTGTGTTATCAACAGAAAAAGAAGAGCAATTTGGAAAGTTAAGTACTTTTCACTTTGGTCAAATGGTTTACATATTATCTTATCCATCTTGAAGGATTGTATAATAGGAAAGAGTTTTTTTTTCTATAGGAAATATGAAAATATGAACAATTAAGTTTAGAAAATTTTGTAAGTTAAAAAAATCAGTAAAGAATATAGTTACATATGCAATTATTTCCCATATTTCTGTTTCTTGGTTATCATCTTTTTATACTGGCTAATGTAAGAAGCAAGTAAATTTTAAGTATTTACTATTTAATAATTTTTTCTATATTGATATCCATTACTAGGTTGAATCCTTTATGGACATTAACTAATGACTATCTAGTGACAAGTTTTATTTTCACATAGGGTTCTCTGACATCATACACTAAAGGATTATTTATAAAATTTCAGGAACATGGAATCATTTGGGATTAAAATGTAGGTGTTTGGGTTCCAACTAAAGAGAGTTTTAGCTATCACATCTTGTATACAGAACTAGAATCTGAAATGTTAACCAATACACTTTGAAAACACTGTAGAGTTGTGTATAAGTGAAGAATGCAAAAATATTCATATATATATCTGAGGACATGTGTAAGTTTTTAAAAAACAAACATAGTTTTCTGAAAGTTTTGAAATTTATTTGAAGGGATAGTTTAATAGTGTTTTAGGATTTGAGGTGGTATCAATTTTGCCTCAGATTATATATATTTATGTTTAAATATATGTATATACATATATATTGAACATTTTGATCCAAATTGGCGGTGTGAATAGGCCATAATCTACAGGTAGTTTTAAGAATGGTTTTTGTATTTTCTAATAATGGTGACAGTGATCACTAGAGGTGTAAATGTCTTTGACAGAAACGTTGAAAGGTTTTTCATTTCTTGCATAAAGCATTCCCAGTCTTTGTGCTTTAAGCACTTAAAGGAGTTAACAGACACACATCCCCAGACACAGACATGCACACATACCTCTCAAATATTGGTATGTTCTTATAGGTGGACATTTAAATTTTTCCTTTACACAGAAATCATCCCAAGCCAATGTTTTAGTGCAAAACGTACTTCTCTTCTTACTGTACAGATGAGTGGTCAGGAGGTGACTTATTCAACCCTGAGATTTCTTCAGTCTTCTCCAGAGTCACAGAATACATTAAGGACTGATGCTACTCAAAAGCCTAGAAAAGCTGATGGTAAAGGTATACATTTTAAACAGCTAGAGTCACCCATTTTTTATGCATTGTTAAACTTTTCATGTACAACAAAAATATCATATGTGCACTTCTGCTTATCAGCTAGTAACATGAAATCACAACATGGTAAAGTAGTAGAATGGAAATCTTTTTTCTTTTAAGAATATTTTTTAGAATGGAGAAATGAGATAATGCTTTTAAATTTGAGAAACTTAATAGGATGTTTTTATTGAAATCTAGTCAAGGATTTGTGAGGCCTTAAAAGTAGAAGACATACTAGAGTCTGAAGAAACTCTGAATTTGCTAAAGAAATAAATCTTTCTTTTCCTTTTATTTATATGTGCATACAATGTTTGGGTCATTTCTCTCCCATTCCCCCCACCCCCTAAGAAATAAATCTTAATGAAATGAAAAGTATGTGTTAAAACCAATACTTTTATTCAAATGAAAGATATTTTAGGTGCCTTAAATATTTACCAAACTTTAATGGCAATGGAAAAGCAAAAATTATATCAGAGGGGAAATTCTGGGTGAAGGACTCTGGTCTTTTTAGTTTTACCTTTTTAAGTTTTTGTTCGTAATGGATACAAGCATGATTTTTCATTTTCTTTCTTTTTAAAATTGGAGGTTCTGGGGTTTGAACTCAGGTCTTCTCACTTGCTACGCAGGTGCTCTACTGTTCGAGCCACACCTCTGTTTATTGCTCCCTTTAATGATTTTTCTTTGTATTCAAAAGCTAAAAGTCGAAAAAGACCAAAAAATGTAATTCTAAATTTTCTATTCTCTATTTCTGTTCACCTTTCAAATATTGTCATAATTAAACTCTAAATTGAAGACTTTGTCTCTTTGATGTAGAGATAATCAAACATATGATTTTTCAGATACCAAGAACCACATCTCACAAGGATATATACTGTCCATAGAAAAGCAGAATTGATGAAAAAGAGAAGAAAGTTGATTTGTAGAAACTCACTTAAGGATGGACCCCTATCACATGCAGATAGTCTTCATGATTAGTTTATGATCATGTCAGATTGGAGACTCCTACACATATCATGTCTATTCCCCTCTGTGCTTTTGTAAAGGACATACTTTCAAAATGCTTTAAAACTGGGTGAGCTGGTACATCCTGTACCCAGGATATACCCAGCTACTTGGAAGGAAGAAAAAGGAGGAGGATTGAGAATTTGAGGTTGGCCTTAACCTAGACCTTGGTTTTTAAAAAAATGAGAGAAAGGAAAGGAGAGATGGAGGGAGGGAGAAAGGAAGGAAGAAAGAAATGAAGGAAGGAAGGAAGGAAAGCTTGAAATCCTATAGAATTGTTCCTATATGTCAGATTTCTACAATGAGCAACTGTTAACTGAATATTTAATATTTTAAAACCATAATTACTAGATTAAAAATATGAATCCAATTTTATGATATACTTATATCAGATTTTTAGACACCTTTGTTTCAAATGGTGTCCCTGGTTAAAGTTAATAATGGGCAGGTTCTTTCCCTGATGATTATTTTCTTCCTTTTGTATTGAAGAATTTTCAGTGCCCTGGCATCTCATTACCATGACTCTTGGGATGCTGTGTTTACTTCTGTTGATAACAATCACAGTGTTGGTGATAAAAAGTGAGTAATTGAAATACATTGTTCTTGTCTGAGTAATAAATAGCGTTAGACACTAACGCTATTTATTACTCCACCCATTATCCTGCCTACCAGCATGTGTCCTAGGTGGCTTTGAACTGTTTTGGAGGTGTTCTTTTTATCCTGGACATTCGACGATATCATTTTCTCTTATCTTTTACGTTGACTCTGGGGCTGTGATGAGGTGTCTTGCTTTGTCTTAGACAGTCATATTTTTTCTGATAACAGAGGATATAGCTATATTCTGCCATCTGAGTTACAGTTATTGTGTGTTTAGAAACACAGTTTGAGAAATAGCTGTTCAAAAGAAACTAGATTTTTTTCTAAGTATATAATGAGAAATGGTGTAGTAAAAGAATGAAGCTGAAAAAAGAATGAATCTGTACAAAGGATGTTAGATGATCTTGAATTTAATCTTTACCTTTTATTTTAATTCCTATACATCATTAGGAAAAACCCCAACTATGCTGCATTCATATAAAATTACACAATGGATAATATTCTCCTTTCTCCAATGGTTATTTTATCTGCTCCAATGATAACAATACCATATCTTTATGTTCCTTAATTCAAATTTTCATATCAGAAGATGTGTTGCTTAAAGTGTAAACTGATTTTTACTTTGGTACTTATTTATAAATGATGTGTTGTTAAAAAGGAACAAAGTAAAAGGTGAGGTGTTACCATAATCTCACTTAAATATCTTGTTTTATTTATTTTACACTTATGTTGCTAATAGTGAGAAAAATCAACGTTTCCATTTCTGTGGTCAATTCATTGAGGTGTTACTTTCTAAACGTCAAATTACTAATTAAAGTAATGATGCAAATTGTGAGGACTTTTCTGTTGTCAAAGTGAGGCCTTTTCTGTTTTCTTAAATTCATACATTTTTTTCATTATGAGCACTTATTAATTGTATCTATGCTATTAATTTTAACTTTTTATTATATTCAAGAAAAACATGAGCAAGAATTTCTAGAAAACCTCCAACAAAAGTACCTCATTCTGCAAGTGGACAACAACTTAAAGGAGCAACTTTTGAAAAATAAGTCTTTAGAATGTGATACCCTCAAAAACACAAGCTGTCAGCCTAAAATGAAACTGGAGTCATTCTGCACAGAAAAGACCAGATATTGTGGGAAAAATAAGGATGCTCCAAAATCTTTGGAAAATACGAAAGGTATGAAGGATCTTGAAATAAGATCATAATATTTTGTGTTATTTCTTCTTCTCCAGAAGCTCTGAAGTTTAATGTCAGGCTTATGACACTGGTGTTCTATGGGTTTACTGATAAATTTTTATTTGTGCTTCTTAGATATAAATGAGTATTTGGGTTTGCTTATTTCAAGCATGGTATTAGGACCCAAAAAGCCATACCTGGAGTAGTAGAGCCCTAGAAATCCTAAAACTCAATGGTCATTCTTGTGTTCCTACTGCTTCCAGAAAATGAAATTGCATTTTTCATAGTACAGTCTGAAACCATTACCACAGTCAGGGTATAATGACAATGTATAATCTTCAAATACTTCCTCAGGTCTCTTTATTTCTTTTGTGATGAGGACATTAAACATAGGTCTACTCTCTTAATAAATTTTAAGAGTACAGTGTCAATAACTGTAGGAACCATGCTTTACAGGAGATCTCTAGGACTTAATCATCTTGCATAACTGAACTTCTGTACCCACTGAGCGGCAACTACTCATTTTGTATCGCATGGGTGGCATATATTCATCCATCCATTCACCCACATATGTCAGGATTAATTCCTTTTTAAAGCTTGAATGATATTACTTTGTATGTACATAACCTCATTTTCTGTATCTACTCATTCATCAGTAGATGAGTGTTGTCTTGTCTTAGCTATTGTGAATAATGCTGCATTGAACATAAGGGTGCAGACTAAATTCTCAGTGTATTATTATTAGTGAGAGCTATGAGAGTTTCTTTAGTTACGGAGGATTGACAGATACATTTTTCTGATTAACACAATAGCAGAAAACAATAAATCTAATGATTCTCTTCATACATTGCAGGCAAACTCTGTGGCCACTGGTCCTGTCTTGGAGTAAAATGTTATTATTTTGTCAAGGAATTTAAAGACTGGAAGGGCTGTAAGCAGATGTGCCAAAGTCATAGATCATCCCTTTTGAAGATAGATGACTACGATGAACTGGTATCATGGACTCTTACATTCACTTTTATTCTCTTGGATGCTGTCTCTTACCCTTGAACAATAAGGTACTGAAAGCAGGCAGGAGTCCAGAAAGATACCGTCAACTATTTTTGTTTTGTCAGTTATATGAGCAAAAACTATATAGTTATGAGTTTCCTGGAAGACTCCTGCCTGCAAAGAAACATATGATCATGCGATTTACTAAGTATTTGATACAGCAATGTATTGTGATGACCATTATTATTAAGGAGACATTTTAGGTCTTTGCAATCATCTCCCTTTCTATAGAGTCTGCAGAGAAGTATGCTTATCCCTTGATGAAGTTTAGCCCTTTGGTAAATTGCGGGCTCAAAAACTAACAGTTATTTATTCCTACAGAGTGGGAGCAAAGAATCATCTTACAGTATAGTCTAAGAGTTGCTATTAGAATCCCAAAAGCCAGACTTTCTGAGATCAAATCCTTCCCTGCAGGTGCTTGCTAGCTGGGCGACATTAGATAAATTTCTTAGACTTCCTTGACTTATCTGGAAAGCATAGATAATTATGAGGATTGTAAAAAGGATAACAACTTTGTCAGTTAGCCTTATGGTTGTTTTAATTGCACCTGTAAGTATTATTTACTTTATCAATATTCTTATGCATTATCTTTGAAAAACAATTATAAAAAAGAAAACATAGTGGCAGTGATGCTATAATTGTCTTTTTAATTTATTACTAAGTAAATTTTTACAAATACACAAAATATATTTTTGCAGAGAAATGTTTGTATAGATCAACCTGAAACCTCTATTTTTCCTTTAGGAAAATTATATAAAATTTATCCACAAATTGAATGTTTAAAATTACAATATATATGAATTCTTGACATCAAGTCATGATATAATTTTCAGTTTGCTACAGTAAACATATTTAAATTTAAGCCTATTTAAAAAATATATTCAGTCATTTAATCAGGTATTCTGTGCTGTGTTACTCTGATAGGTTACATTTCAGGCATAGTAAATACCTCCAAATATCTCCCCCTTTCCTTCATTGCTTCAACTACAGAAAGATTTCTCTGAGGAGGATAAATCTTTAATGTGCACCCTCTTCACATGCACTTTTTATTTTAATATATTTTCTTTTGAAGATTCCTTCCTTCATTTAAGATTATGTGATCATTTTCCCACATCCTTCAGAATTTTTCTGGAGCATGATTTTGAATAGTTTCATAAAGTGTCAAAAATATTTTAATGAATATTTTATCTCCTACTGGCAAATACTTAAACTCTGTATTTTCTATGCTTTCACCAATTTAGGAAACCAACTTCAGTTTAACAATTAATCTATTGATCAAAGAACAGCTGAGCCCCTTTACCTGTAGTTCTTTTTGTTCATCTAATAGATGAGAATTTTGGCACAAGATATATTTTGTTTCATTTACAGAAATTCCTTCAATCCCAGGTATGTGGAGATATTTACTGGATTGGATTATCATATAATGGAGGGGAAGGAAAATGGAAATGGACTGACAATGGCACTTCTGGAATGTGAGTTTCTGGAATTCATTCATTACCATTAGTATGAGAATTGGAAGGATTGTTCTAGAAAGAACCTCTCCTTTCACACAGCTGTACTCATTTTCAAATGGAAATAATTGGTAAGAACAAGATGAATAAGTGAGAAAGTGTTTGAAGAATTATATTTAAAAAGGAAGAAAAGTGTCATACAAAGTTACTGCTACTAATAAAAGTGTGATGCTCATAAGCTTATGCCATAAGGTACACAAAATGAAACAAAATCATAATTTTGTTTTGTGGTGGTCCTGGGTTTTGAATTCAGAGTTTCACAGCAGCTAGACAGGTGTTCTACTGCCTGAGCTAGTTCTCCAGCCCCAAATCATAAATGTTAAGTTAATGTGAAATTATCTGATCAGCCTGATCATAATGGGTGGATATCTTGAGAATCCCAAACATTCATGTGAAACTCCTTTGTATAATTAGATTATGTATTAGTTTATATGTTATTTATGTACTACTTATACATATAAAGAGAATATGTATGCAGACATATATATATATATATATATATACATACGTATATACATATAGATTTATACCTTCCATTTATTTTTTTATTTTCATATTATTGTTGCACTGAGGGTATATTGTTATATTTACAAAAGTTCTTATAATATATCATAGTTGAAATCACCCCCTCCATCATTCTTCTGTATTCCCCTCTCCCCATTCATGGTATACTATCCTTTAAAGTGCAGTATCATATAAACTTTTGGGTTCACATTTAATTCTAATCTTCTGAGAAACAACATTGAGTATTTTTGTCTTGTTTTATTTAAATGCAGCATTGGGGTTTGAACTGAGGCCTCATGCTTTCTAGACAAGCGCTCTACTGCTTGAGCCACCCCACCAGCCCTTTTTTTGTGATGGGCTTTTTGAAAAAGAGTTTTGAGAACTGTTTACCTGGGGCTGGCTTTAAACCACAATCCTCCTGATATCTGCTAAGTATTTCAGGCATAGCTAAGATTACAGTCATGCGCCACTAGTGCCTGGCTTCTATTGACTTTTTTGTAAGTTATATTGACTATTATATTATATTTTATTTTCACGAATTCTGTTTTTTGTTTTCAAACAACCTTGCTAGTTGCTCTTGTGTTCAAGCTATCATATATATTTTGAAAGATATTCAAGTACTTATTCTTTGTAACTGGTATTCCTATTATTTGAAGGTTAGTGGAGCTAATCTATTGTTTTTGCTGGCTTTTGTTACTGATGCCATTTTTTTTGTGGTGTTTAGAGATTTTTGTTTGTTTGTTTGTTTGAGCTGCTGTGGAAACTATTTGAGGTCTGAAATAATGGTGGTGGCTTCCTCAAGAAAGAATTTGCCATTGTTTGATGCCTTGGAACAGTATGAGTCTAGGCCAACTGTTTTTCTTTTTGATTTTTTGTTTTTTGGACTACTGGGTTTTGAACTCAGGGTCTTTCACACTTGAATCATACCTATAGTACTTTTGCTTTTAGTTTGTTTTTCAGATAGGATCTTGCAACGGATGACCTTGGACTGTAATCCTTCTACCTCTCCTTCCTGAGTAGCTGTCAGAGCAGCCTGGGGCCACTTTTAATTCTAAATGTAGGCCCTACAATTGTTGACGTTCTGAGTTGCAAATCCATAAAAGTAGTCCTGTAGGAAAATACCTTTTCATAATTTTATCCTCCAATTACACTAACAAGCAAACTATCCTAGAGATCGAGAATAAAAGGACTTTCAGGTCAAATTAAGGTGCTCAAATCACACAGTTAATTGGAGCCATCCAAAGCCCATTGCAAAATGAAAGAAGAGAGACAGGTTGTTGCCCTTAGGGTAACGTGTGAGAGGGTGAAAGGATCACTGGAATCTTGGGTTAAGTAATCTTCCTTCCATTGCCCTGACTCCCTCTGCTATATAACCCTTCCCTGATGATGGTGTTGTTTGTAGGGACACAACTGAGGTTTGAGTAAGAAAGCCCAATAGACTGAAGGTTTTTGTGGTCAGGTTACATATTTTCTCTATCAGGAAGATGCAGAAGCTGGTAAGCCTGGCCTAGCCACAAGTTCAGCTTTCCAGTTAACTGGATGAGCAGCTTGGGATTAATTTGTGTTCTCGCCGAGGCCACTGCAGTCTCACCAATGGGAGGTGAACTTAAGATCTCATGAATGTAGAGTATGTTCTCATGTATATTTTGTTTGCTGTTAGTGTCTACTTGGTCCTGTTTTTCCTTTTTTGTCCATGTTGTATGTACATGTGCTTTACTTACTGTATCTGTACTTAACATGTTTCATAGGTTACTAACTTACCTATCCACTCCTAACATATCTTGTGTGTTCTTTCTGTGCTTCACAAGCTACTTGATTTCATTTGCTTCCTTCCTGTTCCTTATTCCCCTATGGAAAATTTGAATATTTTAAATAATACAGCAAATGCAAATTACATAAGGGATGCTTTTCCTGCCTAAATCCAAGGTTGAAGGAAGTGTAGGATGATTTTTACTGAATATATACCACTTTGAGGTCTGAGCCATATGTAGCTTGAATGGAATTCATTATTTAGAATACCCATCTTGATGGATTCATTATTCATCCTACAATATTCATTTAAGAGAAAGACTGCCCATATATTTACTTACCCTTTGGGATTCCCAACTTACTTAAGCATTGCCTTAGTAGTAATCAGCTTCTTGCCAGTGTGTGAATTTATTCATGAAGTTTTTATTTCCCTCCTTCCTTCCTTTTGGTCTTTGTTTATGACAGGGTCTTGAATGTGGCCACCTTGTCTGGCAGTTTTTTATTTTTATTCAGCATTTTAGATATTTTCAATAGGAAGGTAGTTCTGACAACACACCATTGCTGAAAAAGAAATCCTGCTTTAGCCGGGATTTGCCATGTTTTAGGTAATTACCATCAGCTATGGGTGAGGGAGGTAAGAAAACAAACCAAAATGTCAATCAAGAAACACTTTTTCTTCATTTTGTCCTTAAAATACAGGCATAATGAAAGCTTGTTATCTATGTCACAAAATTTATTTCTTCTTCGTAGTCCATCAGTTTTACTGAAAAATTAACATAAACAATCAGGATTTGCAAATCAAAACCCTACAGCAGTATTGCCAGTTAATTTTAACTCCTGACCAAAAATTGCCAGTATGGAATACATTTGGAGAATATGGGTGTGATGAAGAGGTCGTAATTCTAATCAATGGCTAAAAAAAAAAGTAAATCTTTTAATGATGAGTTTATGGTTGATATTTTCATATTCTGTATATTTTAGGCAATTTAAAAAAATAATCATTTATATAATTTAAAGTTTTAAAGTTAAAAGCTACCTGTTATGTTTTCTGTTCTACAGTGATACTAAAGTCATGGGTATGTCCCCTAAGGGAGGAGAATGTGCATTTTTAACTACAACAAGAATAGAGCATATTGATTGCTCAAAAACCTTCTATTGTATCTGTGAAAGAAGAATGGACAGGTTAGTCCCGGCTCTATTATATGGGAATAAGAATAGGTAAAAATGGGATATTGTCATTTTTGTTTGTTTCCTGTAATAATTTGTGATTACTTACAAATGTTTTTGACTTCAGGACTTAGTTCACTATGGAAATAGAGAGTGATGGACTGGAAGAAAACGATGTACTTATGGACTATGACTTAGGACATCAGATGCCATCTTTCTTCCTGGGGAAGAGAGGAAGAGTTTGCTTGTGGACAGTGATTGCCCTTTGCTTTAATGGCCCTGAAAAATTGTTCTCTCTTTTTATTTTCTGAACTACCACAGGCCAATTAAAGAACCTTGATAATTAGCTGGAATATTTCTTTATCAGCATTATAAATCATTTTAGTATCTTTTGGCTTTTATAGCAAATTAAGGACTAGAATATAGTTGTGGGCTTTTGTTTTCTTTTGGGGGGGTATCTAGAAGTTTACCTCACTTTAAAAGCTTTTATTTCCACAAAATATAATTTTAAGCTTAATGAGTATAGTACAAGGAACTATCATATAACTTTTAACCATAGTCACTAGTTATTTATATATATTGCTCTATCTGCTTTATGGTTCTCCCTGCCCCCTCTCCTCCCCTTCCCTCCTTTCCCCTTCCCTCCCCTCTCCTCCTCTACTTTCCTTTCTCTCTTTTTCTCACTTCCTCTCTCTCCCTTTGTTTATCCATAAATATGTTGTGGCCTAACAGATATGGTGGTAATAATGTATCTAAATATTTTCCAAGGAGAAGCACTTTGTCTTAAAAAAATATACCACAATGATCAAAATCAGAAAATTTAGTATTGGTATAGTATTATGATCTAATCTATAATTCATGTTCATATTTTATCAATAATCCCAAAATATTATTACTTATCTGTGTTACTAAGTCAGGAGCCAGGCGGTTCTCAGTCTTGTTGGAGAAAGATTTCAAAGGACATGAAGAAGACTTAAGTAGGTCACACTCTCTTGGAATCTCCCCAACTCTGGGCGCCCTACTTTCCCACTTTACACTTTGATCTCAATAAACTCTTGCTTTACAATTTAAAAAGAAGAAGACTTAAGCAGGCATGGATTTATGAATGCACAGCAAAGTGAAAATATACTCTCCAGGCCAGAGAGTGGGCAGGCTCAAAAATGAGTGACTTCCCTGAGTATGAAAAGACTTCCAGCTTTTATTGGTGTATATGAACATGGAGGAAGTCATTCCTGGTAAACTGCATTATGTCATTAATTCCTGAAGACTGGGCCATGCATCATTAACTACTTCCACACCTCAAGTGGGAGGGATTTTGACCTTGGATAGTCAGACTGAGATTATCATTTTCCATGGGGCTGGAGATTAGCTCACTGGTATGTATCACAAGGTGTTCTGTTAACATCAGAGAGCCAGGACATGATTTGTTTTATCAAAAACAATCCATTGTTCTTAGGTATGCATCAGGTTCCCTACCTACGTGCCTGACCATATGGCTGTGTCATTTAGTGGTGTTTTTCCTTCATGTTCAGGATCATGAAATGTGTTTAGTTGTGATGTCCATTTTTATCCTTTAGCCTGGAATAGTTCTTCAGGTTTTCTTTGATTTTCTTCATCTTGACTTTTTTGAGTCAACTGTACATTTAATAAAATGTACCCACATTAAGTCATAAGGAATATATGATATATATATATATATATGTCTTTAAAGGAAAATATATACACATATAAAACATTTCCATGACCCCTAAAAGTTGCTTTCTGTCCCTGCCACTCACCTGGTCCCAGGTGATTGGATGCTTTCTATCAATACAAATTAGTTTTGCCTATTCCAAAATTCCATGCATTGTGTACAATTTTGTATCTGGCTTTCTTTTGCTTAGCATATTTTTGAAATCAACTCTTGTTTTTTTGTGCACCAGTAGTTCATTCTTTTGTTTCAAAGTAGTATTCTGTTCTACAAATATACCACAATTTTTTGTTCATTCATGTGAACATTTGATATATTTCTATTTTGTCGCTATTATGAATAAAATTGCCTTGAAAATTTGTGTGTAAGTCTCTATGTGGACATGTGTTTTTATTTTTTTTCAGTAAATGTCTAGATTAAGACCCTGTTTACTGGTTATTACGGTGTGTGCATGTTTAATTTTATAAGGAGTTCCCATAATATTTTCCAGTGGAGTTGTACTATTTTACTTTTCCAGCAAAATCCTATGGGAGTTCCAGTTTTTCCTCATCTTTGCTAATACTTGATATTGTCAGTCTTTAATTTGTTCCTGGTAAGGGTGTAGTGGTACCTCATTGTGATTTTTAATTTGCATTTCCTTTAAAGACTAATGATATTATTGGTTATTTGTTTATTTTCTTTTCCCAAGTCTTTGTTCATATTTGTTCAGTTCTTTTTAAATTAGATTTGTCTGTCTTCTAATTGTAGAATTGTAAGAGCTCTTTATATAATGTAGATACAAACCTTTTGTAGATGTTTGTATTGTGTATATTTTCTGTCTTGCCTCTTAATTTTCTTCATGGTATCTTTCAAGAAGCAGGAATTTAAAACTTTTGAAGAGGGCCAACTCATCATTTTCTCATGAGTTTTAAATTCTGAGATAGTTTTTCCTTCATCAAGATTATAGAGATTTTGTCCACGATTTCTTCTAGAAATTTTATAGTTGTAACTTACATTTTTAACTTGTATCCATTTCACACACAAAGTTTAATGTGTGGAAATGGTTGAGGTTCACAGTTATTCCATGTGGATATCAAGATTTTTTTCTGCTCTACTTCTTAAAAAGATGTTCCTTTCCTCCATTAAATTACTTTGGTGCCTTTGTAGAAAACAAGTTGATGCTATCTTTGTGGGTCAGGTTGTAGACTCTCTTCTATTTCAGTACTCTATATATGCATTCCTGGAGTAGTATATATAGGCCATTACTATGCCTTTCTAGCTACCCTTGGACTGAAATGTACTACTTCTACCAATTTATTCTTTTTCAAAAGTGTATTGACTGTTCCAGGTTCTTGAATTTTCTCAAGATGTCTTTGAAATGCCCAATGGGATTGCATCAAATCTACAGAAAAATTTAGGAGAAGTAAAATCTTATTAAGTGTTAGAATTCATGACCATGACATATCTACCCATTTACTTAGGTCTTCTTAATTTATTTTCACAAAATGCTATGTTTAAGGATATACTCTTATATATATTTTTCTAAATATATGATATTTTGATGTTACTTTGAATTACATTTAAATTTTTCTAAAATATCTGTGTTTTTTTATAATATTTTGCTAAATTTATGATTTTTTAATTTTATTTTGAATGACATTTAAATTTTCATATTATCTGTTGTTAGATTATGGAATAAACTATTTTCCATAAATTCATCTTATTTCACTTTGCTAAATTTACTTATTATTTCCAGTAGTTTTGTTTTTTCCTCATTTTTTTTTTTTGGTGGATATCTTAGGATTTTTCTCTTCTGTGTTCACAATCATGTCCTCTGAGAATATGAACATTTTACTTTTTCCCTTCTTCCTTCTGTTTCTCTTACTTTACTCTACTGGCTGAGACATCCAGTACAATGTTAAACAGAATCGATGATAGTTTGCTTCCTTGCCTTGTTCCCAGAGTTACAAAGAAAATCATTAAGTCTTTGATATAAAGTCAGCTGTAGTTTTTTTCATAGATCCTCCTGATCATGTTGAGTTATTTCTATTACTTCATTTTCAGTTCTCTTAGGAATGGGAATTTCACTGCTTTCTGCATTTACTGAATGATAGGCTTTCCTCTTTTAGTCACATTTGATCTTTGTTACAGCAACACAGGAAAACTGACACAATTATTGAAACTAACATACCAATAAATTTGACAGTTTAGACAAAAAAAATAAATTTGTGTCTTTATCTGAGTTTCCCATGAAGAATCACTAGGCAGAATGGCAACTAGAGAAGAGGCGTAAATTTTTTCAACACAAAAATTATCAAAATTGACAGGAAAAATAGGATATCTAAATAACCCTTAATCTATTAAAGAAATGACATTTGTAATTAAATACCTTCTAAGAAAATCCAGGCTGATTATCTGATTAATTTTATCAAACATTTACGGATAGAATATACAAATGCTGCCCTAAAAACTTTCAATAGAGATGTCAAAAGTATTCCAAATTAATATACAAGGTCAATTGTTTCCCCATATCATAAATAGAAAAAGACTTCAAAAAAACAACAGCCCAATGTCAAATGAATATAACCAAAAAGTCCCTAAAAAACATTACCCAATCAACTCTAGAAATGTATTTTAAAAAGGATAGTAAATATAGCATTACCAGGTGAAATTTACCCAATAAGTGTTGGTTTTTTTTTTTACATTCCATATTTGTTACATGTCCTATGGTCTATCATGTTGAGTGTTCCATGGACACTTGGAAGTAATGTGCATTTTGTTATTTTGGGATGGAGTGTTCTGCAAATGTCAGGGTGTCAAAGTGATTCATAGCTTGTTCATCTTCTATTTATCTAATTTTTAAAGAAATTTTATTGTTTTTAAATTTCTTAGTATTCATTTACTCATATGTGTGTACATTGTTTGGGTCATTTCTCCCCCCTGCCCCCCTCCCCCACCGTCTAACCTTCCTTTCCCTCTCACTTCCAGGCAGAAGTTCTGCCCTTATCTCTAATTTTGTTGAAGAGAAGACATAAGCATAATAAGGAAGACAAACTTTTTGCTAGTTGAGATAAGGACAGCTATACAGAGAGATTCCTAGCATTGCTTCCATGTACAAATGTGTTACAACCCAAGTTGATTCATCTCTAACTGATCTTTACACTGGTTCCTGATCCCCTTCTCATATTTACCTCTGTTGCTTTAAGGTTTCTGTATTAGTTCCTCTGGGGTGAGGACATCAAACGCTTTCATGTTTTGGGTTTTCTACCTACATTTTTTGGTCTTAAAATCAATTATCGAGAAAATTGTTTTGAACTGTCCAGATGTGATTGTGAGTTTTCTATTTGTGTTTATTTTTGCTTCACAAATTTTAAATTTTTACTTTTCCCATCCACTTGTCTATATGTTCTGTAAGACTTTAAAATTTATCTTGGTTTTCTTTAGGTGTATCCGGAGTGCCTTAAATGATCGTTCCCTTTGTAGATATTGAATAAGTAAATAAATATCTGTTGAATGAATGAA